ATCTATCTATCTATCTATCTATCTATCTATCTATCTATCTATCTATCTATCTATCTATCTATCTATCTATCTATCTATCTATCTATCTATCTATCTATCTATCTATCTATCTATCTATCTATCTATCTATCTATCTATCTATCTATCTATCTATCTATCTATCTATCTATCTATCTATCTATCTATCTATCTATCTATCTATCTATCTATCTATCTATCTATCTATCTATCTATCTATCTATCTATCTATCTATCTATCTATCTATCTATCTATCTATCTATCTATCTATCTATCTATCTATCTATCTATCTATCTATCTATCTATCTATCTATCTATCTATCTATCTATCTATCTATCTATCTATCTATCTATCTATCTATCTATCTATCTATCTATCTATCTATCTATCTATCTATCTATCTATCTATCTATCTATCTATCTATCTATCTATCTATCTATCTATCTATCTATCTATCTATCTATCTATCTATCTATCTATCTATCTATCTATCTATCTATCTATCTATCTATCTATCTATCTATCTATCTATCTATCTATCTATCTATCTATCTATCTATCTATCTATCTATCTATCTATCTATCTATCTATCTATCTATCTATCTATCTATCTATCTATCTATCTATCTATCTATCTATCTATCTATCTATCTATCTATCTATCTATCTATCTATCTATCTATCTATCTATCTATCTATCTATCTATCTATCTATCTATCTATCTATCTATCTATCTATCTATCTATCTATCTATCTATCTATCTATCTATCTATCTATCTATCTATCTATCTATCTATCTATCTATCTATCTATCTATCTATCTATCTATCTATCTATCTATCTATCTATCTATCTATCTATCTATCTATCTATCTATCTATCTATCTATCTATCTATCTATCTATCTATCTATCTATCTATCTATCTATCTATCTATCTATCTATCTATCTATCTATCTATCTATCTATCTATCTATCTATCTATCTATCTATCTATCTATCTATCTATCTATCTATCTATCTATCTATCTATCTATCTATCTATCTATCTATCTATCTATCTATCTATCTATCTATCTATCTATCTATCTATCTATCTATCTATCTATCTATCTATCTATCTATCTATCTATCTATCTATCTATCTATCTATCTATCTATCTATCTATCTATCTATCTATCTATCTATCTATCTATCTATCTATCTATCTATCTATCTATCTATCTATCTATCTATCTATCTATCTATCTATCTATCTATCTATCTATCTATCTATCTATCTATCTATCTATCTATCTATCTATCTATCTATCTATCTATCTATCTATCTATCTATCTATCTATCTATCTATCTATCTATCTATCTATCTATCTATCTATCTATCTATCTATCTATCTATCTATCTATCTATCTATCTATCTATCTATCTATCTATCTATCTATCTATCTATCTATCTATCTATCTATCTATCTATCTATCTATCTATCTATCTATCTATCTATCTATCTATCTATCTATCTATCTATCTATCTATCTATCTATCTATCTATCTATCTATCTATCTATCTATCTATCTATCTATCTATCTATCTATCTATCTATCTATCTATCTATCTATCTATCTATCTATCTATCTATCTATCTATCTATCTATCTATCTATCTATCTATCTATCTATCTATCTATCTATCTATCTATCTATCTATCTATCTATCTATCTATCTATCTATCTATCTATCTATCTATCTATCTATCTATCTATCTATCTATCTATCTATCTATCTATCTATCTATCTATCTATCTATCTATCTATCTATCTATCTATCTATCTATCTATCTATCTATCTATCTATCTATCTATCTATCTATCTATCTATCTATCTATCTATCTATCTATCTATCTATCTATCTATCTATCTATCTATCTATCTATCTATCTATCTATCTATCTATCTATCTATCTATCTATCTATCTATCTATCTATCTATCTATCTATCTATCTATCTATCTATCTATCTATCTATCTATCTATCTATCTATCTATCTATCTATCTATCTATCTATCTATCTATCTATCTATCTATCTATCTATCTATCTATCTATCTATCTATCTATCTATCTATCTATCTATCTATCTATCTATCTATCTATCTATCTATCTATCTATCTATCTATCTATCTATCTATCTATCTATCTATCTATCTATCTATCTATCTATCTATCTATCTATCTATCTATCTATCTATCTATCTATCTATCTATCTATCTATCTATCTATCTATCTATCTATCTATCTATCTATCTATCTATCTATCTATCTATCTATCTATCTATCTATCTATCTATCTATCTATCTATCTATCTATCTATCTATCTATCTATCTATCTATCTATCTATCTATCTATCTATCTATCTATCTATCTATCTATCTATCTATCTATCTATCTATCTATCTATCTATCTATCTATCTATCTATCTATCTATCTATCTATCTATCTATCTATCTATCTATCTATCTATCTATCTATCTATCTATCTATCTATCTATCTATCTATCTATCTATCTATCTATCTATCTATCTATCTATCTATCTATCTATCTATCTATCTATCTATCTATCTATCTATCTATCTATCTATCTATCTATCTATCTATCTATCTATCTATCTATCTATCTATCTATCTATCTATCTATCTATCTATCTATCTATCTATCTATCTATCTATCTATCTATCTATCTATCTATCTATCTATCTATCTATCTATCTATCTATCTATCTATCTATCTATCTATCTATCTATCTATCTATCTATCTATCTATCTATCTATCTATCTATCTATCTATCTATCTATCTATCTATCTATCTATCTATCTATCTATCTATCTATCTATCTATCTATCTATCTATCTATCTATCTATCTATCTATCTATCTATCTATCTATCTATCTATCTATCTATCTATCTATCTATCTATCTATCTATCTATCTATCTATCTATCTATCTATCTATCTATCTATCTATCTATCTATCTATCTATCTATCTATCTATCTATCTATCTATCTATCTATCTATCTATCTATCTATCTATCTATCTATCTATCTATCTATCTATCTATCTATCTATCTATCTATCTATCTATCTATCTATCTATCTATCTATCTATCTATCTATCTATCTATCTATCTATCTATCTATCTATCTATCTATCTATCTATCTATCTATCTATCTATCTATCTATCTATCTATCTATCTATCTATCTATCTATCTATCTATCTATCTATCTATCTATCTATCTATCTATCTATCTATCTATCTATCTATCTATCTATCTATCTATCTATCTATCTATCTATCTATCTATCTATCTATCTATCTATCTATCTATCTATCTATCTATCTATCTATCTATCTATCTATCTATCTATCTATCTATCTATCTATCTATCTATCTATCTATCTATCTATCTATCTATCTATCTATCTATCTATCTATCTATCTATCTATCTATCTATCTATCTATCTATCTATCTATCTATCTATCTATCTATCTATCTATCTATCTATCTATCTATCTATCTATCTATCTATCTATCTATCTATCTATCTATCTATCTATCTATCTATCTATCTATCTATCTATCTATCTATCTATCTATCTATCTATCTATCTATCTATCTATCTATCTATCTATCTATCTATCTATCTATCTATCTATCTATCTATCTATCTATCTATCTATCTATCTATCTATCTATCTATCTATCTATCTATCTATCTATCTATCTATCTATCTATCTATCTATCTATCTATCTATCTATCTATCTATCTATCTATCTATCTATCTATCTATCTATCTATCTATCTATCTATCTATCTATCTATCTATCTATCTATCTATCTATCTATCTATCTATCTATCTATCTATCTATCTATCTATCTATCTATCTATCTATCTATCTATCTATCTATCTATCTATCTATCTATCTATCTATCTATCTATCTATCTATCTATCTATCTATCTATCTATCTATCTATCTATCTATCTATCTATCTATCTATCTATCTATCTATCTATCTATCTATCTATCTATCTATCTATCTATCTATCTATCTATCTATCTATCTATCTATCTATCTATCTATCTATCTATCTATCTATCTATCTATCTATCTATCTATCTATCTATCTATCTATCTATCTATCTATCTATCTATCTATCTAT